GCAATAACATACAATATAATAAAATACATTGATAGACTAAGCTGGTATAAACCAATGATATGCAATATAATACAATACACTGATAGACTAAGCTGGTATAAAGCAATGATATACAATATAATACAATACACTGATAGACTAAGCTGGTATAAAACAATGATATATAATATAATACAATACATTGATAAACTAAGCTGGTATAAAACAATGATATATAGTGTAATACAATATAATACAATACACTGATAAACTAAGCTGGTATAAAACAATGATATACAATATAATACATATAATATAATAGACTAAGCTGGTATAAAACAATGATATACAATATAATACAATACATTGATAGACTAAGGTGGTATAAAACAATGATATACAATATAATACAATACATTGATAGACTAAGCTGGTATAAAACAATGATATACAATATAATACAATACATTGATAGACTAAGGTGGTATAAAGCAATAACATACAATATAATACAATACACTGATAGACTAAGCTGGTATAAAACAATGATATACAATATAATACAATACACTGATAAACTAAGGTGGAATAAAGCAATAACATACAATATAATACATATAATATAATAGACTAAGCTGGTATAAAACAACGATATGCAATATAATACAATACATTGATAGACTAAGCTGGTATAAAGCAATGATATACAATATAATACAATACATTGATAGACTAAGCTGGTATAAATCAATGATATACAATATAATACAATACATTGATAGACTAAGCTGGTATAAAGAAATGATATACAATATAATACAATACACTGATAGACTAAGCTGGTATAAAGCAATGATATACAATATAATACAATACACTGATAGACTAAGCTGGTATAAAGAAATGATATATAGTGTAATACAATATAATACAATACACTGATAAACTAAGCTGGTATAAAACAATGATATACAATATAATACAATACACTGATAGACTAAGCTGGTATAAAGCAATGATATACAATATAATACAATACATTGATAGACTAAGCTGGTATAAAGCAATGATATACAATATAATACAATACACTGATAGACTCAGCTGGTATAAAGAAATGATATATAGTGTAATACAATACACTGATAGACTCAGCTGGTATAAAGAAATGATATATAGTGTAATACAATACACTGATAGACTCAGCTGGTATAAAGACATGACATATAGTGTAATACAATACACTGATAGACTAAGGTGGTATAAAGACATGACATATAGTGTAATACAATACACTGATAGACTAAGGTGGTATAAAGACATGACATATAGTGTAATACACCAAATCTTTCCTAGTGTGAAACTAGTATATGAATAACTTATAAACAGTCATGTGATTACCTATAGGCATTAGGAGAATAGATACACTCAGTTGAAAAGTAGTCTAGTTTCTTAAAGTAGGCATACCTGTAACAACAAAGAACACAACATCTATATTTAAGACAACAGTATTTTCATTGAAATAAAGCTATAAAGTTTCACAGCCACTGCTATTATTTACCTCACATATACAAAGACTGCTCTATCATTTGAGAAGTTTAAATAGTATGAACGTGCATATGTATTATGCATTTAAAACACTAGATATTTACAAAATAATTAACCTATTTGACAGCTATGGAACATTCCATTTCATCATTTGACAGTTCCATTATTTTTGAATATGCATAGTTCCAAGAAGTTATCTTATGGTTAGTTGTGGCTTGACAAAGGTGATTGCTATCAAAGGAGAAAAACTAGATATTTCGTTTTGTTCGAGTAGGAAGCAAATGACTGAAAAACAACAATCACAAAAGTTGCAACTGTCTTAACCGACTGTCTGTTGCACCTGTAACTAACATGGAAGTGTATAAGTCTTTATCGACAGTAAAAGTTAATATTTCATGATCTTAGACAAATGTCAAAAGTGAAAGTGTGTAAGTGCTGAGATTTGAAACACATTCAATGAGAGCATGTATGTTGAACTGAGAGGTGATAAATTTTAAATAATTCAACCAGTATGAGGTGGATCTTCTTTATCATAATGCATTTAAAGTTGTCATTTCTTTTTTAAAGGTTGGAAATTTGATATGCAATAAAGATACAATTAGGAGCATTTTTTAATAAGGCCAATTTAAAAAAAATCTTTTGGGAACTAGTTTGACAATTCCTTTCTTTATGAACAAAAACTTTTAAACACTGTCACTTTATTTGACCTTTGGTTGGTATATTTTGTTTGGTTTAGTTCAGAATGTGTCGAGTGAAAACAAAAGTCTTTGAACTTATGGCTGAAGTGAATGATAAATTTAAGCAATGAACCTCAACAATTTGTTTGTTTCTCACAACAGTTACATAACATTATGTATCGATCATGTTCTAGTCACTTATAATTGGGAAGATCCATTCACGGTTTGTCATAAGTTCCGCTTGGTTAAGAATACTTACATCAATTTATGTGGAGTCAAACTTTTAATGATCCTTTTGATTTTAAGGGGCCAAGTAGGCTACCTAGCAGAACCTTTTTACGGATCCATCAGCATTTTTGGGGGCCATTGGCTCCCGGGCCCCAGCTAATTAAGAGCCCTGGATATAGTTACTTTTCACAAAAATTAGAAGTTAATTTCAACCATTTTTAAAGTGTTCCATTCAACTTAAGCTATTCCATGGAATCTTAGGATTAATATCCTAGTCTAACCTTAGCACATTTCATTACATATTCCTTTCACAAAAGATGTTACCTACATTACAATTTCTTTTTCGTACGTATACTTAAAAGGTTTGGACCTTGGAATTGCTCCCTCAGTACCCTAATAAAAAAAACAAGGCAATAAAAATTACTATTAAAACTATGGAATATCAATACAAACATTCTTACATATGTTTATATATGATGTACCAAATGTAATTGTAAAAGATGGCTACATGATTATTTCATAATCTGAACACTATTAATACTACATTTTGATTCTGTCTTTTTTAGTTCCTGTTTATGATTCTATCAAGTGAATAACTTACTACAGTAACTAAATGAGTGCCATTCCACAAGATGTGAGAAGAAAAACTTGGACAAATGAGCATAAGGAATAAATTTTCTTGTCTAAATATAAATTTTTTGTTGTTTATTTTGTGTAAGCCTAATTCCATCATAACATGGTCTTTACTATCTGACAAAGGATATTTGCTCAAATCGTTACACAAAATAAACTAGAAAATCTTTAATTTACACATGTCAATTTATTCATTATTGTCATTTATCCAAGTACTTAAATGACAAAGTTTGGTGACTAACTATTTAACTTAGGGCTTGAATGATCCGTAATGATTGAAAAAAATTAACGTGGTAACCAAACTTTTTGCTGAAATATTTGAAGAAACTGATTTTCTGATTAAATTATTTACTATCCAAACTGTTACGACATCTGATCAACTTACTGTGGTAATCAATGTGCAACGCTGAAGCCTTGCTATGTCTCCTCTGAGAACTGAAATAAGGAATTTCATCAAGTTAAGTGACAATTGTTTAATAGAAACTAATAACTTACAAATGATGTTGTTGGTAAAGGCACCTTTTGTTTAGCATTGGTTATAGAAGATTATTTAATTATTTAAAGATTTTTCAAAAGATGCCATATGATTTCATCTCCTGAAAAAAAAATCAAAAGATCTGAAATGTGTTTTAATCGTAGGTGTAAACTATACATCTCACATCATAGCATTGTGTGTCCTTAAAAACATGGTTGGAAAAATGCATTTTCACTTTGTAGTTGAACTACAAAATTGAGTTTTCTACCTCATGCTTTGTTACTGGTGTCTAATTGCATCTTAAAGTCAACTGAGCATGCATGAGTTATTTTGTAATTTTAATTAGTATATATATATTTTTCCCTCCATATATGTACATTCTATGCTTAATTTGTTTGTACAAAAATACTAAATATTAAGTCTTGCATACTTACTATTCATTAATACAGTTTCAGCAATGTCATCAGCATTGTGACCTGAAGATAAAAATGTATAGGTATGTAATGTTAATACTCTTCATTAACAGGTATCTGTACAAATGCATATTTATACTATACAAAACATCACATAACCTGTTAAAATGTTCTTAAGTTACAAATTATATATTTAAACATTCATGAATATAGAATATTACCATGGTGGTTAAAAGCAAAACAAATATGAAGATAAGGTTAAAGGTGAAAGAAAATTTATCTAAACAACTTTTACCAGTATAACTACACTTAGCAGACAGAAGATTTCTAGAAATTCAATATTTATTAATAATAACTTCTACGTGAAAGAAGAGAAGAACGTATAGTAATATACTAACCACACCGTACCTGCACCATACTGACCACACCGTACCTGCTATATCTAGTACAAATGAGGAGTTTTGCCCAGTATAAGGGCTCATCATGCTGGCAGGGATATGATACGGGTTGAGACATTATTTATATTAGAAAACCACTTGATAACAACCGTTATGTTTTAACCTGGTGAACTGTAATTTCATTTATGTTACAACGCTTCAGAATTAAGGCACAGATTTTTTTAACACTATCCTAGCACTATAAACTATTAATTGTTATTTTTCACATTATCCTGATCATTATTCAGAAAAACTGATGAACAAGAGCAGATCAAGCAACCAAAGCATCATCAGGAAAAGCCTACTAGAAGAACTGTACAATTCAGGAGCTACATCAGGAAAAGCCTACTAGAAGAACTGGACAATTCAGGAGCTACATCAGGAAAAGTCTACTAGAAGAACTGTACAATTCAGGAGCTACATCAGGAAAAGCCTACTAGAAGAACTGTACAATTCAGGAGCTACATCAAACTACTAGAAGAACTGTACAATTCAGGAGCTACATCAGGAAAAGCCTACTAGAAGAACTGTACAATTCAGGAGCTACATCAGGAAAAGCCTACTTGAAGAACTGTACAATTCAGGAGCTACATCAGGAAAAGCCTACTAGAAGAACTGTACAATTCAGGAGCTAGCTGCTTATCATGCTTTACTTTATACATCTTCCCTCTTAACGTTAATCCACGTTAAAACAATTAAATACAAAATTATTCATTATCTTTGAATGTTCTGTTGATTTTATTCTATGCAATTTGCACCAGTATCTTCAATATCATTAACTTCATCAATGATCTGTAATAATGAGTTTTTCTCACTGAATTTTTAAAAATATAAAACATTTTAATAACAGTGTACAAGTATTTTGGAACAAAAAATTCTAGTAGCTATTAAAGAATATGTGATGAATTTAGATACATGGTAGTCAGACAATAAGTAGTTTAATGTACACTTGAATAATTTCTATACATGACCTACTTAATTAATATCGTCATCATTAGTTGCCAGCCAATCAAGTGAATTTAAGTTGGTGTCTAAGTGTAGTATGTGAACACAGTTTATATGCATATTTTTATAAATATGCGAAATGTTATTATCTCTTAGTGGGAATGAGTTACAAACCACAAATTTGACAATATTTGCTTATTGCCAGCCAAGTTTTAAAACATGCAATCTTAAAGCTTACCACTTTGTAAAATGTACACTCTTTACTTTTGTAGTTTCTTACAAACTGTTTGTGATTCAACAAGTTAAAGCAGAATGCACTTACTAATGAAATATGACACAAGCATATTCAAATATGTTTGTTTATTATTATTTCATTTTGGTATGCATTAAAAATTATCTTTGCTTCATTAATACAATACAGGAGATTATAATAAACTTAACCAACTGGACATATCCTTCAACTATGTATTTTGATTACTAAAACAATGAGTGTCATAAACATATTATTTGAAAAAATTCATATTATAGATTACACACCTTTTTTTTTACATAGAAAAAGATAGGTTACATATTTCTTTCAAAGAAAGAACCACAGAAATATGCAAACATGTTGACTTTTTACCGTACATGAGCACTCGAACCTCAAATTGAAATGAAAATTATGGGAGGATTATCACTATAAGTAAAGTAAAACTGTAGGAGTCTTTTAACTTTTGTTGGAGCAATGAGAAAAATTTATGATTTTATCAGCTTTTCCTAAAGCAAGTTTTTAATACTGATTTTAATGTTAGAATAAATTGTAAGAACTTTATTAAACAAATTTAATATAAACTCTATACAATAAATAAAGGAAACACCACTTGCCAATAGTAAGGACTTTATTAAATAAATTTAATATAAACTCTATACAATAAATAAAGAAAACTAAACTTGCCAATAGTAAGCCTATGCTATATACGAGTACTCTATATAAGCCTAACTACAGAGATGTTAGGCCTACTTGGGGAAGTTAAATCAGATGGCAAGGTTTATGTTGAAACAAACTTATTGTCACAGTTCACTCAGCTGTTATTAAAAGAAAACAATGTTTTACACTCATTATTTTCGAACTTATACTGCCTCAAGTGAACATTTCTTTTTATTTCTAAAAACAGTTTCTTGGAACTTTTGTATGTAAAGCAGATCTTGCTGACAATAGTTAATTTTTTTAATCTTTGTCAAATACTACATATTGAAAGTAGCTCCTAACTTGATGGGAGTCAAACTCTACTACTGTGATCGAAGGTGACAAAAGTGATAAACACTCATTATTTGTTTTGCACATGCACACTCTCGTTAAAGTTATAATCTGCCTACAGTGAAAATGTATTTCCGATAGGTACTTACCTCATCTCACACAAATGGCTATTCTTGTTCAGTGCTGCCCTCTATATGTAAAAAAAAATTATGCATGCCACGTGCCTTCTATTTCCCCTTCATTGGAATTGATTGAGTCCAATGTGTCTTTCATGCAAATTATCATGCATGAACCCTACACCAATACGAGTTTTGGCAGATGATGGAAGTACCATGGGAAGGAAGGGTGGAAAGTGTGAGTTGAGGTAAGTACCTATCGGAAATACATTTTCAGTATAGGAAAATTATAACTTCTGATACGATACATTAACTCTGCTCACATAGATAGCTAGAATCCCACATTGAAGAGGCGGAAGAACCGGTGTGAGGGAAAGTCAGATTTCAAGATCTGATGAGGGGAACTGCACCACTTCTGAACCAGGTATACTATTCACCCATCATAGAAAGATGTCGCATATATGGGCAGAAAACAGAGGAAAACATCTAAGTGGGAGAGAACTATGGCCAGAAAGTGATCGAAACCATGCAATATTTAAGAAACTAAATTCCAGAAATGATAAAAGTGGGTAAAATAAAAAGGATTTGCCCCTAGGTGTAGAGTGACTAGGGTCATACAGACCATACATTGCAAGTCAACTACATCCAAAACCCATGCCACTGGGAACCGACATCCATGCAGGGGTAGGATGAAGATCATATTGTCGGTAAGACAACTACAATCCAAAACTGAGGCTACTGGGAAACGACATCCATGCAGGGGTAGGATGAAGATCATATTGTCGGTAAGTCAACTACAATCCAAAACTGAGGCTACTGGGAAACGACATCCATTTCAGGGTAGGAAAGAGGATCATACCGGTGGCAAGTCAATACAATACAAAACCCAGCCATGTGGCGAGGGTAGGAAAGAAGATCATACCGTCTTCATCTCAAGTTAACAAGGTGAGGTAGCAACAAACTTTTACACAGTTAACAAGGTCAGGAAGCAACAAACTTTTACACAGTTAACAAGGTCAGGAAGCAACAAATTTTTACTTAGTTAACAAGGTCAGGAAGCAACAAATTTTTACTTAGTTAACAAGGCGAGGTAGCAACAAACTCTTACACAGTTTACTATTAAAATTTTCATCACTTCTGTCTAAATCATTTCTCATTTTAAGACTTAATATATTCTGAACTATGTTAATCATATTACTGTGGTAATTTATACAAAATATAAATGATTATTTCTTGACAATTATGATTTAATTCCATAATTTAACATAATTTACTGATGAAAAGTGAAAAAATTAAACATATGCATATTTATACAGCTTACATTAAAAAAAAAAAACGCAAATTTCCAAATTTAACATTTCCCCATACAGGTGTCAATTAAAAAATAAAACAATAACAATGTATATCAATTGATTTAGAATATATATGTCAGAAATGCAATTGGCTAAACTTTTACACAGCCCACCTGTAACAATTTTGTTAACTTCAAGTAGCACAGCTCCTCGATCCAGGGCTTGTCTTCTAAATACACCACAAAATGTACCTGCAGGAATAAACTCACTTTTACATACACCTCTTAAGATACTATTGTCTTCTCAGTTACAGTTGAACCTAGGTGTTACTTGCAGCACACTACTTGCTTGGAAGTAATTAAGCTTATATACCAGAGGTGGTATGTAAGGCATGCCTGTCATTTATCGAGTATCCCATGTTGTGGCATAAAGCTCAAATTTCATATTTTAGCACATGCATTAAATATTATTAAAATATGTCATATTTTGATTGATTATATAATTTAATCTTTAACGGATTTTAACTTGACTGCTTGACCCCACCCCCCTTTACCATTCTTATGGACTTTGGTTTTGAATACTTTTTAGATCACTGGTCCTTTACTCAAAAATCAGAACTAGCTGAACAAAGAGTTAGTCACACCCATTGTGTACTCTTAACCACAAGACCAATACAGTTTTTGTATTGTGTGTTACTCACTATAACTTATCAGATGAACAGGATCAAATCTTTTTACACACAAGTAACTACAATCTTTATCTTCCAACATCTATCAAGGACCTGGTACTCAACCCTAATTTTCCATTCACTATTTATTTCTCAACAAATCCACAGTAATACATGTTTTACATCACAACAGATGTGGAGAAGATGCATTCTATACCTGTGAACATTGCTATAACTTCTGATCAAAAGACGCTACCAATAAAGAATAGAACTAAAATATACAACTAGTAAGGAGTACAGATTAATAAATATAACATTCAAATTATATTACTTATATTGACTGGAATGCACTGCTTTATCAATTGGATACCCATTGCTCTTAACAACATTTTTAGCCATAAAATTTTTTATGGATAACAATGATAGAATATTAACAATTACTAACTGTGGACTTTTTTATACATAACATACCTGAATACAGTATTAAAATTAAATATATGAATCTCAACTAGCAATCTGATGAAGTAATCATCAAACTTCTAAGTTCAATTTTACTGGAGGGTTTTTTCATTTTGTTACCCAAGTTATGTAATTAAAAAAAGAAACAAGAAATAGGATATAATGACAAAAAAAGAAACTTTTTACACTTAGTGTTTAGAATTGCCATCAACACATTTACATCCACAAAATAGGATTCTGATCCCACAGTAATATTTTTTTACTACATACGCAAAGAAAATACAATTTCACAAGTTAATAGATGATGCATTACATGATATTCCACTAAACAAAACCTCTTATGTCTTATAAGTCTTTATTATATATGTAAATTCACATAAAATTATGTATTTTTGAATTTGCTGTGATGTTTTCAATCATATTGATACAGTTATCAGTATTATGAGAGGTTTCTTTTATTAGAGGGCAGTGTAACTTTTAATTTTGCTGTTTCACTGGTACAATTCTTATTATAAATGTTTAAAATATGAAATGATAACAAATATTGATGTAAGTGACTATTAATAGAACCATTATCACATGAAGGATATGTTACACCTCTAAATAATAACTAGTATCACTGAATGAAAATTTTAATAGTATGTATCAGGTTGAAAATGTCAGGTTAACACAGCATGCACCTTAAAAATTTCAAATTATCAGTATCAAGCACAGTCAATCAAACTTTTAAGTAAAGGCTATTTTGAAAAAAAAAAATATTGTTTTAATCATTAATTGATTATTTCTAAGTTAAAGATCATTCTAGATTACAATATACAACAGAAGTGATAATCAAACAGATTATCTTTATCTTGAGTCTTTAAAATAACACTTCACAACTATTACCAACAACTCTACATTTTCAAAATATTAAAATAATGATTCTGAAGGTCATAATTACTTTCACAGACTTAAGATTTTTGGCTAGGATTTTGTAAGCTAAGTTGTTAATCTTCAACTTCTTCAATAGTCAAGGCTAATAAAGGTTAATAAAATTAGACTATAGAAATGACCATCACTTACAGTTACTCTTCAGACCAATTTGTCGAACTATGGCATCCATTGTCCAACCATAGAGTTCCTATATCAAAATAAAATGATAAACATGTTTTTGAAAAAGCCAAAGTTCAGATAATTTAACATACAAAACAAAATTCATATCTTTGCATGTCTCTATATTTATAAATATTCACAACCTACATTCCCATTAGCTACTTGCCACATCACCAAAAGCAAAGGGTTCTCCTGTTATAGTTCAACTGTTTTTACCCAGTTTGCCACAAACCAAAGCTTTAAGACTATGCCAGCATGATTACTTTGAACATATGACGTTAGGGCACGTTTGTTTATACAGTGATTGACACTACTATATAAATCATGGGTATGCAGAATTTTGACAATAAAGAACAATCATACTCAGTTCAGTAGTTGATTGGGTTGTATGAATAACTATGATGGCCAACCCATCCTGTCACACAAAACTAGAATCCCACATTGCAAAGGTGGAAGGGCTGGTTTAGGTGCACAACACCAACTGAAAGTAACTGCACAGGATGAACAAGTGTGCTCTGAAATGAAAACGAAGCACACTTCTGGAACAGATATGTTCTTCGCCCTTGAAATAGGAAATGAATTTCAAACTGGCGGAAAAAAAGTATGTGCTCAAGTGCAATTTGTTGTGAGAGGTGCAATCTATAGTAAAATATAAACCAAATTAGCTATCTATATACACAATTTTAACCAGACAGACGACGTTCCATAACTTTTCCTCGGCATTAGGAGGTTGAAGCTGGAACGTAAGCATAATGGTTATGGCAAGTGGATTGTATTACATGTACTCATCAACCCCAACTGTAAGTAAACAGAGTGTCATACATCAAGCAATTGGAATTACAAAGAGTACGTTAGCTTTAGTCTGAAAATGAACAAATTTCCAAACTACCATAGGATCAAGAAGTACAAAAACTGAACATGGCTTTATAGGGTAGTGGCATTGCCTCAACTCAACCATAAGAACAGGGTAATATCTGTAACCAGTATTACGAACAGAAATGATAAATCATTCAACTGTAAATGCAGGGAAGAGACATCCTGAATCTGGAATTACAAGGAGGACATGGAACATTCACTCAACCATAGGAACAGTGTATGTAAGTCCTGTTGCCGGTATTATGAAGCAGACAAAGTCCCCCAAACTCAACCATAGGAACAGTGTATGTAAGTCCTGTTGCCGGTATTATGAAGCACACGAAGTCCCCCAAACTCAACCATAGGAACAGCGTATGTAAGTCCTGTTGCCGGTATTATGAAGCAGACAAAGTCCCCCAAACTCAACCATAGGAGCAGATAAAAAATCTCCTGCAACCGGAATTAATGAGAATAGGGGCCTCTACTGCACACAACTGTAGGAACAGGGTGGTGTCACCTCAAACCTGGTATTACGGGGAAGATCCCATATAGGCTGGACCTGCTCCAATCAAAAGCTCTCCATCTGAGAAAAAAACATCCAGGGGAAATGGAAGGAGAGAAACTAGCTTTGCCCCCTTCTTACTGAGTGTATAATCATGAGTATATATGATAAATTAAATTTCTAAGCTCATTCAGAAGGAAGCCTCCATGATCCACCACCCCAGCGGGAAGTGGTAAGGACTCCCGTGCTCCACTGTAAGAAAAAAGGGATAAGTAAATGCAATGGTGAGTCCAAAGGAATCACACTGGTGAAAGTGTCATGGGTGTTCATGATTCCCTATTTTGAAAAGGAGACCATTCCATTTATTCAATCAAGGGTGGGCAGAATTTCTGCTTTACTCATGAAAGTCCACAATGGAGTGAAACATATGGATACTGACAAATATATATATATACCACTGGGCATGCCACCAGTGGTCTTGTTAAACATCCCATCTCTATAGTTAACATTATAGCACAACCAGTAAATAGTGCTGGTTTGAAGCAAAGCATACCTGACCAGGCAACACCAAGATCCAATTAGCAGTGATAAAAAAAAAGGTCTCTGAAAAGAAAACAAATAAAATGATGTAATAAGACTTATACCAGTCAAAGGCAAATGGACGTGTGTAGAATCACTGTGGGAGGGAGACGATATACACCTGAGAAAGATACAGCCAGATCATGCAGATAATGAGCAACAAAAGTTTTGGGAGTAGTCCACATTCCGGCCTGAATGATCTCCTCCAATGGACAGTGAAGGTGAACAGCCAAAGACATGGTTATACGACGAATTTGATGAGAAGAAATGTTGTGGAGACAGCAGACCTTCCATGGATAAACTTAATGAGTTGATGAACCCAACCAGTTAGCGTGATAGAGGATAAATCACAGGAAACAGATGGATTCCTTGGAAGAAAAAGCTGGGAACGTGAATTCCAAAAGGAAGAAGTACATGTCACATAAAACCATAAGGAGCAAACAGAATGGAAGTACAGGTAGGAGATGGAAGGTAAAGAAATTGGTGTGAAAGCCAAACAGTCTTCATGAGCAGCACAGGTCTTAGAAAGGAAGGACCAATTTGGATATAGGATGACATAAGTAAAATGGTAAATGATTCTGGTAACATTAATGACATAAATATCTGTTTAACAATGTATGCAAGTGAGGAGGAGAAGGAAATAGGTCTTGAGGGAGAGATGGTATATGGACCACGTTGACAAAGGTTCAGAGGGATCACAGGAAAAGGTATAAAGGACCACACCAAAATCCCAATCAGGCAAATCAAAGAAAAGTTGAAGATGCATGACCTAAGAGGTGTGAAGAAGGAGAGAAATGACATGAGAAGACAAAACCTTGTGAAATTTGGAGATGTGGAAGGTGTTTGACAAGGCAGCCTGATAGCTAGATGCAGTCAAAGTGGACAAGCCTTTGTCAAACAAACAGGTAAATAAATGGAAAAGATGAGGAATGGAAGGGTGGGAACCATGTTGAAGAGACCAAAGGCAGAAGGTAGACCATCGCCTTTGGTAAATGGACATGGAAGAAGTTTTTATGAATCTGGAAAGGAAAGATGCAAAACATAGAGTCAGTCTCTGGGCTGAAGCAATGGACCTGACAAAAGCCATGCATGAAGACAAGGGTGGTGACATCTGGATGAATGATGTCTGATCAAGGTTGATTGAGCAGAGACTGAGACGCAGTAAGGGTAAGGGAGATTGTACAAGTAAAGGTCGAAGCAGTGGGAACCATGGTTGCACCAGCCACCAGGAGGACTAAACACAGAGTTGTTTGGATTAAGGATAGAATTCTGAGGAGAAGTCGATTATGAGGGTAAGCATAGATGTGATGACCCCTCCAATCTTGACTGAATGTGTTCACTTCCAGAGCTAGTGGGTGTAGAACAGGAGACCAAAAGAAAGGAAGTATGGTTTTCCAGTGGGTTATGAAAGCATTGATATGAGGTTTTCCCAGCTGAGAACACACTGACTGAAAGACCTGTGGATCGAGAGACCACTCCATGTGGAGAATCTTGTTGGGTTGAGATAAACAATCCACACCCAGATTCAGGATCCCAGGCATATGGCAAGCTAAGACCATCATGTGGTGACTGTGGGCTCAGAAAAGGAGATCCAAGATCTGAAAGCACAGAGACCTGGATTTTGTACCCCCTTGCTTAATGATACAAGTGACCACTGTGGATTTGTTGGAGTGTACCATCACCACCCTCCCCAACAGGAGAGAATAGAAGCAGGACAGAGCTCAAAGAACTGCCATAAGTTCAAGAATGTTGATATGGAAAGAAGACTCCTTGACGAATGAGAGACCAAAAATTTCCCTAATGTCGAGGTAAGCACCCCAACCCTCTAAAGATGCATCCATGAAGAAATGTAAATCCAGACAAGGTGGAAGAAGCGGAACCCCCATGTAAAGGGACTGTAAAGGGAACAACTGTAGTCGATACAATGAATCGCAAATTTGTACGAAGTTCTCGTATAACTCACTAACAAGAAACAAATATCGTTGAAACAATTGAATGCAAGCACAGCAAAAGAAAACTGTTTAAAAAAATTAGAAATGGCAAATAAGCATAATCATAAAAGGTAGCCACATGCAAAAAAACACATATCTAAATGAAGCTGTGCCAATCGAGAAAGTGAGGATTAAGTGGAAATAGCAGAGGGAGCTAGTTGTGTTATTATAGGTTGCACAATACTATTGGTGGAGAGTAGTCACGTGACATGTACATGTTCAAAAATGGCACAAAAATGATGGGGTATATAGACTGGTGCGCTGAGTGCAAACATTTTTAGCAATGCTTAAAGGGTAGAAGAAGATCAAGTTAGCTTTGTGTGACAGGAGATAAGACTATTGGAACTGTTATCTCATCATGCTTATCCCACGTGACAGGATCTTTAACGATATTTATAAATACATACCATCTTTATGAAATTGTATTATCTCATAATGCTTACCTCATACGACAGGATTTTTAGTGGCAATTCATACTGTTGCTGATTTCTTTTCACTGTCTGAAAAAGAAGTTCAATTTTCAAAATATCCATAAAAATCTCAAAAAGTTGATACAACAAAACATTTATAAAAATACATTAAATTTACAATTACTCCCATTTCAAAGAAACAAAATCCATATAATAATCTAGATAATTGCCTTTAAACATGTTATCCATAATAATTCTTTTTATCAATTATTATTTTCACCTTTTGAATGACTAAATCTCTACTTGTAGTATGACAAGCAGAATGAACAAATGAAAAAAAATGTATTTAATGCATATATAAAAATAATGCCAGAAGACCACAGAATCTTATCAAATCATTAGTAAAAAAATAACATAAAACTGAGAATAGGATATAAAACTTTAAAAGTTTCTTGAATTAATAATATGGGCTTAAAATGAACACAGTCGGGCCAGCTATGAAAAAATCTCAAATCTTCACAAACCTAACAAGGATTTTAGATTTACCCGAAAACACACATAAAGTGTTTTAGTTAGATATTTCTGTATTTATCTGACGAAATAAATGACTTACGAAGAAAACTTCAAAATAATATATGTATACAATTGTTGCTAATAAAAAAATTTGGTCATTTATGTCACAACTTAATCTATAATCATCAATAACTCTGTTAAATTACACCTCAATTTATGAATTTTTCCCTTATCTTTACCTCTAAAGAGTCATCTCTGTAGCCTGTAATACCTTCATCGACAGATAACAAGACCAATTTCAAGCCATAATTATATCGTTCATTGAGAAGTTTCATTATGTAAGCCAGCACAGTTGAATCTGAAATGTGGAGAAAGAGTAAAATTAAAACTAATTTTATAGGATAGATGTGTTTAAGCTTCAATATCTAGTCTTGTGTGAATGAAAGTCAGATTATGTATTGGTTACTAACACCTTCCTCTGGGTACTCTTGTAAATATTACAGTTATGTCAGTGAATGTGGTATCTTCTGTGAAATCAGTTTCCTCAAAACAAATACATGTCTTACACAAAACTGGTTTCCTCTGAACATATGTGTATTATCATAAGTTTCATAGGAACATTAGAGAAAAACTGATAAAGGCAGATTTTTTAGTCAAATTGGTATTACTGTAACATCAAACATTAACTAATTCTTAGATTTCCAAAATCAAAAGTTTCATATATGATTTCTTAATATATCCATCATATACTTGTTTTTCAAACTTGTTATCTTAAATGTGCTGTTATGACAGAGGAAGTCACGCGACACTGGGAGCATGCTCGCTGGAGTTTCTAGAAGGATCGTGACTTATCGGGCAACCTCACGAATGTCCCAGCATTGGCTAGATGCCCTCTTTTTTAGTATATAAGCTGGAAATAGATTGAAGAGAAATAATTGATAACTGAATCAAGCAAACAGTGGGCACCATGGGTAAAGTGTGTGAATCGCTGTGAATTATAGCGTGTTTATAAAAGTAGTTAAGTTAAAGTGACTGTGGAAATTCTGTATATTACAGATTTGTATCGAGAGAGAATAAACTAGTTTTAATTTAGAAAGGACTTGTATCACTGAAGTTTCTCAGAAAGAATTTCTATAGGAAATTAACAAACAAGCAGATATGTAACAGTGAATTCAAATGTATTTAAAATGCTGCTCAATAAAAATATGGTGTTTCAGTTTCAAAATATGTACATACTTAAGCCTAATGGGTAGAGTAAGGCATTTACAGGGAAGTAAATATACATATACAAGCTCATATACATTTGTTGCATGAATACTTTATAAAGTATTAATTTACTTAAACTCAAAATATCTCAAATTATTAATCACAGTTATTAAATAAATAGTTTGGTTAGTAAACTCAAAGCAAGCTTTAGGAAATGAGGTGTTATTTATATTTTTACCTCTTTGAAAAATATATCATGATAAAATAACTGTAATGGAGCTGTAAGAATCAAATATCATTAAATTAATCATTCAGAATTTTTACCTTTTCCTCCTGAGGCAGCAATAGCAACATATTCACCTGGTTTGAAAAGTTTGGCTCTTGTAATAGTTTCATGGACTTCAGTTTCAAATGCCCAAAAAAAGCATTCTTTGCACAAAGCATCACTCTAAGTATGAGAAAAAAGCATTGCAAATGTATTATCAATACACAGTTTGTTGGTATATGTCTCATCTCAAACCTAAGTTACACAGCTCAAAATTAACACTAGCAAACCGCTGGTTAATACTATTGCAATTTTGCTAGTAAAACTTAGAAGGCACTAGGAAAAAATTGCTACTATACATTTCTGAATAAAGATTTGCAAATTCTTACTGTTGAGTATCAATAAACCAGTGATACGTACACTTCAGTCATTCATACAGCATGATTCTGTGAACAGAGGGGTACTATAAATGTGATTACTAAGACTGTTTTACTTGTGACTGGGTGCCATGCCGATTGATCTGTATGGTATACCCAGGCTAAGTTTCAGTAAATGGGATAGTGAGACCACAGTTTCAACTCATTTGATTGGTTGCCAAAGCATGGGCCAGCCAGCTAGACATACACTATCTAGCCTCTACAGTGCAGTTCATCTGGCAGTGTGGTTAAATATATTGTGCCCAAGTGCTGACTCTTTGAAGATAATAAAATAGAAATCACAAAAACCACAACTGTTTTTTATTAAATCCCTCTTAATTTGAATGATTACCAGAAAATTTAAACCTACTGGTTTCTAATGTTTTGTCAGCTTTTGGCAATTAAACCATAACTTTTATACGATAATTTTATAGGGTGGCCATCATCAGTGAGATATTGAAGAATTTGTCATTTCATATGCTCGTGGCCTAGATACACCAATTTCTGTCTAAATTGAGCATCTTTCAACATTTATGAAATAGTTAAAATAAAAACACTGTTATATGTAATTAAAATTAGACTTGATATTCAAAAATGTATATGAAAAGAAAACTTTACACAAAAGATTTATACGTACATGTTTGCAGTATACATACTTATCATTTAATACAGGAAATGATTAATTATAATTTTTGTTTGTAATTAAGCACAAAGCTACACAATGGGCTATCTGTGCTCTGCCCACCACGGGTATCGAAACCTGCATTCTAGCGTTGTAAGTCCGCAGACATACCGCTGTGCCACTGGGGGCAATTAATTATGAGATAATTTCAGTTCATTCCCATAGCAACAATCCTGAATTTTCCAGTGAGAAAAAACTAATAGCAACCGTTTGCTAGTGCCTTCAAATGTTAAGGTTGAGACCTGATTAGTGAGACTATATTTAAAATAATCACTTGGATATGTGTGGATTATATAAGTATACAACACACATAAAAGATCTGAAATTTAATCACACGTGTTTTGTCTCCAAAATACTTGGAATTGTTTGGTGCAAATTTCAGGAAAAATATCATTATGCAGAATTTTAATGGTTGTTACCCAACAAAGAGAAAATTATTTCTAACTCAACACGAAACTGAATTAATACTTCATAAAATATGTTGTGCTTTTTGTGTACTGCATGTTTTTAAGTTGAAGGAAGAATGTCATGATTCTAAATCAGTTTTCTATAGAAGCCACCATAAAGATCAGGCCTACTCACTAAATCATTTATAAAAACAGCTCAAAATAAAGAAATGATTGGAATTTAAAGAAATCAACATAGATCTAATCACTTTGTTCTTAATGGAAAAATAAAATATCAAAGATAGTGTAATAATGATAACCAAAAATTTCTTGAAAAAAAAAAAGAAAACAAAGCTGGGCACTTTCTATACATCCTTGTCACATGATCATTACAAAGATAAACCACTCTATTCAAAAATAAAATGGTCTTAGCTGAAGATGACTCCTTCCTAAACTTTATACTTTTGTTCCCTCATCCTACCATTCCCACCATTAAGTGAAGAACAAAAATAATGTTTCAACACTATCAATTCTCTTAACAATCTTAAACACTTCAATCAGATCCCTTTCACATATTCTAACCTGTCCTTGTATGAGAGCACATGTATCATCCAAGTAGCCCTCTTCTCAAGCCCTTTCCAAGAATGCAATGTCCTTCCTAACTTAAGGAGCCTACTACTACACAAAATATTTCAAATTAATTAATGAGGCCTGATCATGACATATACAATGAAATTATAACCTTGTCAGACTGATATTTAATAGAAAAATAACATGATAAAAAAAGGTCTATTAGTATTACAGTGAAGAATAGTCAATTATTCGAAAGCGCTCGAGTTTTGGGTCTTATTTTAACTCTATTACATTTTATGTGTGATCCTTTGTGCTAACTCTTTTATCAAAATAAGTATTACATGTGTTCAGGTCCATTCCAGTTTTCATGGGCCAAAAAATATTACTTATTACACTTTTCATCAATGAAAGATATATGCATAAATATGAGGATGTAATCAATAATGCTAATGTAGAGGATCTTTCAATTTAACTTTCAAGCAACTACACTTTTAATTTTCGTATGAATTTGTTAAATGTTCACAAAAACAACTCTGAAATTATAACTTCCGATTGAATGAATCGTGCACTGTACTAATTTATGACAGAAAAAACTAGTTCATTTAGATTAATTTAGCATTAGTAACGTTGTACTACAAATGAACAGTACTGTAAACTGCAGTGTGTATATATATTTAGAAGTTCTAACAATTACATTATAGATTCGTACATTACATTTACAATAAGTTGATAATCTGTACCGACCTAGGCCGAATGTTAACACTAAAAGTTAAATAAAAATGGCGGTAATTACCGTTTTCGGTCGTTTAAGTACAGCAACTTTTACACAACAGCGTGTGCACTTTACAGGCATTTCTTTTTAATAAAAAAAATTACAATCACATTAAGTGAATATATAACTATAAGTTATAAGTCTACACCATTAACTATATGGTCTTTAGCGTATGTGGGAGGATGTGTGTATTTACTGCTACCTATTGGAAATATTCCTTATTATTTAATATATTTTAATTTTGAAAATTAAAACTAAAGTACAAAATATTCAGTTTCCTATTGATGCAATATTAACTTATATAATTATCATTCCTAAAAGATAATAAAATATACTAAAAATGATCTAAATAGGAAATTTATTGTAATTTCGTATCCCTTTTTCCATACTCCTCCAACCTGTGGAAGGTGTTGTTACGTCTCTAGTCGTTTGTTAATTTTACGTAAAAATTCTTTCCGAAGAAACTTTAGCAATACAAGTCGTTTCTTAAATAAAACTAGTTTTTCTCAATACAACTTTGCAATACACTTAATTTCCACAGTCTTGCTATAACTTAAACAAACGCTATAATTCACACGCTCGACTCAATTGTCCGTCTCTATCTCTGTCTGCAACTCAATTTCATATGTTGCCATCAGTTCTTGGCGGTCTTATATACAAGAATACCGTACATATAGTAAACACTCGAGGCTTCACGAACGGACATGAACTTTCTAGAAGCTCATGACGTGTTACTAGCGTCACATGAATTCCGTTGTCGTAACACTGCCCCTTCCTTAGTATTGTTCATCCCGAACAATAGCCACTTACATTAAACCAATAGATAAATAACAATAACTTAATTAAATGTACAGAATTTATAAACACAAAATTAAAATTCAACAAAGTATTTTAATTTTACTGGACGTACATTCTTCCGTACTGGCTTCTGCTTCACGTGAGGTTCATCTGCTCCATCAGGAATTGTCTTATCATCGGTAATGGTCACATCAGTGGTAGTGACTTCATGAAGGGCTTCACTGTTTCCCTTCTCAAAACCGAGTAGAGTTTCTTCTTCGACAGTGGCCTTTCCATGTGACACGTCTTCAGTGGCGTCCTTTGTCCCATTGTTCACTTCATTCCAACTGAAATGTCCTGGACCATGATAACGCCAAAGCCTGTTGGCATGTACCACCTTTGGCTTACCACGCCGCCCACATTTTATCCGGAAAGTCACGTCTGAGAGACGATCCACTATGTCATATGGGCCTTCCCATGGAGATGACAACTGAGGAGACTTCCCTTTGGTCTTCCTGGGATTATACAACCACACCTTGTCTCCTGGTACAAAACTAACTTTAGTAGATCTCTTATCATAAGATAACTTCATCGAATAAGCAGACGTTTTGAAGTTTGAACGCACTTGATGGTGAATATTATCCATTCTTTCCGATAATACTTTCACCAATTCTGACACATTTTCAAGCAACTCTTCATAAGGTGGGCGTCATGTTAACAGATCCACTGGCAACCGAAGTTCCCGACCAAACATTAACTTCGCTGGAGTTTATCCAGTGGCTTCATGCTCTGCTGTCCTATAGGCCATCAACAGTGGAGGGAGTAAGACATCCCAGTCATCTTGGCGACTATTACAAAACTTTGCCAATTCCTGTCACAGTGTCCAATTTTACTTTTCTACCATCCCATAAGACTGTGGGTGAAGTGGCATTGTCCTGGTCTTTCGGATGCCAAACAACTTGAAGCATTCTTGGAACACAGCTGATTCAAAGTTACGGCCTTGATCTGAATGTAGTTCGTATGGCATACCAAATCTGAAGAAGAAATCACTAAAAGCTGAAGCTACAGTACTGCATGTCCTGCACTATTCTTCCACATCTTGCCTCATACCTATCCAGTAAAATCTCTGT